GGAAGCTTTGCACAGAGCCAGCCCGGCTGCCCTGTGCCAACAGAGACTCAGCTTGCTTCCCTGGAGCCCTGTGCAGCCAGCCAGCCCCTGCAACCAGGCGCTCGGCCTGCGTGGCTGCATCTATGGAGGCAGAGGTGTGACATGTGGGCGAGGGTTACAGGCAAACCGGGGGAAAGCGTGCATGGTGTGGGGAGCCAGCATGAAGGCTTCCATCCTGATCCTGCAGCGTGAGAGCCTTGGAAAGAGCCAAGGTGAGGTTCCCCCTAAAAAGACAGTTTCCTGCTTGTTCTGCCAAGAGGACACTGGGTAGCTGAGGTTACTGGCTGCACAGCAAGGAGCAGCACTAATGGGCAAGTGGACGCACGAGTTGAGAACTGGGTAGTTTCTGCAGAGGATGAGAGGTAGGCAGAGGAATGCCATGCACTGGGTGCCCATCAATGTGGTGGGTGCACGAGTCACCGCTGGGCTCTGGCTAATTGACAAGAGCCCTCTGCGATGCACAACCCAACTGTTGGGGACAGAGTGTCTGTCATGGGGTACCCAAAACCTGCTGTGTTTCAGTGCCAGAACATTTCCCGACCTTCCCCATTGTTCTCGCCTTTCATTGCCCTGTTTCTTTCCCACAGGCTTGGCATCGCTTTTGCTTATGATGGTGTTATCTTGGCCAGCGCTGAATTATTGGAACAGGATCTAGTCTGTGGTTCTCCAACACCAGCAGGGGAGGAAGCTGGAGATGGCTCCGAGGAGAGCCGGAGCCCATGTCACTGTCGCTTATTCGGCCCTTCTGCTTACCAGACCATGATCATCAGCACAGTCGGAGAGATTGCATGTAACCCCTCCCCCCCAAGCCTTCCAGTCCCTTTTTATAGCCTGTTAATAGTCTCTGGAAAGCTTTTCACTTTGCGTGCACTTAATGACATGTAGGGGGTTGACATGTCCTCGGTGTTGCTGGCAACAGCCAGGCAGAGGGTCTTCAAAGTGAAGGTTTGGCACATAGGCCATGAGCTGGTGGCAAGGGGCAAGAGAGGGCATTTCTCCCCAGGTGAGTAGTGCAACTTTTGATGACAGCACAGGTCCTTTCACCACCACACTTCCTTTGCAGTCAGTACCTACTAGCTGTCTTGGTGAAACTCCAAGACAGAATTGCCCAGGTACTAAATTACCAGAACCAAGATTGGCTTCTAAACAAATTCTGAGACACACAGCTTTCGGAAATTAATACGTAAGCAAGGATTGCAGGTAGTCATATTCATATAATTGAATGCACCACACACGTGCCTTACCTTAGAAAAGATACTAGCCTCAGGAGCAGACCCTATGCTGAGTACTACGATAAAGGGCACCAAAGTGTGCCCAGTGAATCCATAGCAAAACAAAATGCTTCCTGGTACAGCCTGTCCAGGAGCTGCTGGGGGATGACAGGTCAGTGCACAGGTGTTTGCATGGTACCTTTTCAGCCAAGGAGCTAGAAGAACTTGGCACTATTTGTAGGTTTAGTATTTCAACACTCCTGGGAGGCAAACATTAAAAAGCAATGAAATGTGGGATCCTCTATTTGCAGCTCACACTGGGCCCAGGCCAGTAAAGCACTCAAGTGGGCATTTAGCTTTCAGCTCCTGCATGGCCTCAGCAGGGCACGTTCTAGGACCCAAGGCTTTCACTGGGCTGTGGCCAGAGGCAGTGAACCCCCCCCCCCCCCCCCTGTGGCTGCACAGCCTGCCTGCAGCACAGGGAGGTGCTCACCAAACTGTACCTTTCTTGCACGGGGCAGATACGGTTTGCAAGCTCAGTCCCTCTCCAGAAGGCATGCCTGAGACAGGAGCTCTCAGGGGGAGCAGCCAGCAGGGCTGTGGCTAGTGTCCTGCCTCAGCTCAGCACAGCAGTGTCAGAGACAGATAGGCTCCATCCACTGCGAGGAAGGAGATGAAAGTGTGCACAAATGACAAGATTTGGGTATGGGAAGGGAATGATAGGAGTTGACATTTTATAGTGCATTTGGTAGGCACTTGGGATGAGGGGTTTTGCGGTATACTGCATAAGGCACTGAGGTCTGTAACCGTAGACATACATTATAACTAAGTCATCTAACATTCTGGGTTTTTTCTTTTTTTGTCTCCAGTAAATCCCTTGAACACTCTAGGCATCAATTTCCTTGGGAGACGCCTGAGCCTGTGTATAACCATGGCATGTACAGCGCTATTTTTTCTTCTCCTCAATATCTGCACTTCAAGGTAGGCTACCAGCTCAGCACGCTGCCGCCCTTGATGGGTAGGGCGGTTTGCAATACTATGGGCAGATAGCAGTATCTACGGTAGCCTCAGGTCACCAGTCGGTCAGCCAGTAATTCTTGTACACATGAAAAAAAAAATCTCCAGCTGGCTCCCTGCACTTCCCAGAAAAGCTATTGCAACAGAGGCTGTGGGGAGAGGAGGGGTGTGTGTGTGTGGCAAGGGAGTCATTTATATTACTGAGCCCAAATGTCTTCCCCAAAGCGTACAAGCTGCTAACCAGTGTAATCCAGAAAATTAAAAAATAATGTAAACAACATCCACTACAAATAAGTTGTACTGTTCCCTCTTTTTTCTTCTTTGGCACTACTATGTATGTCTCCTAACTTGTAGAGTCAGGCACTCCAAAGAAGCTCAAGTCACCAAGGAAAAGGTTTCAGTGAATATTCTACTTATCATCTTGATTTGCGGGGATTTACAAGACCCTTCCCAAGCTGATGGAGCTTAAGAGTTACTGGAAGTCAGTATGGACCTCAGCCATCTGAAATGGGCTTTCAAGTTAAAAGTTTCCTTTAAACTAACTGGTAGCCTGATGGCTGCCAGCCAGTGATTTATACCCGTGGCCTTGCCCTGTGGGCCACTAACCCTGGAGGATCAGTGATGTACCGGGAAGCTGGGGGAGGGACGCTGCTAGGAGTCTTTAAACTAAATGAGCCCCTGTCAGGAGGCTTATGGTCACTCATTAAGGCACCTGCTTGTTTGCTGCTATTATTTTCAGTTTTCTCTGCCTTATCGCTAGCCTGAGCCTGGCCATCGTATTTGTGTGTAATAGTTCTTATAGAGAAACAGAAAGAGAGGCTGGAAGGCAGATGCCACCATAATGCGAACAGGCACCAGCTTCAGCCTCTAAACTTGCTTTAAAAGGAAGCTAATATGCAATAGCTCGGTGTCAAATATGCCTTGCTACTGGACTAAAGAAAGCTTATACTCATCAGCTATCAACTTTTCTTTACACTTTCCCTTATATTAAGCTGGTAAATGCCTTAGGGCAGTCAGTAGCACAGAACAGCAATCATGGAGACATGATCTAATATACTAATTCTTGCTCCATACTGCTTTCTCTCCAGCGCGGGCATGACTGGATTTCTCTTCATGTTACGTGCCTTGGTTTCAGCAAACTTCAACACCATATACATTTACACGGCAGAGGTGGGTTCTTTTGCCAGTACGTTAGGCCGCTTGGGTGAATGAAACCCCTTTTGCCTATACTCAGCAATGCTGCCATATTTAATAACTGGAATGACTTTTCTTAACTGTGTAACTCTGGTCATACTGCTTTTGTCTATGAGATGGGAGAAGGAATCAGAAAACTAGTTGGAGATGGCAAGAGCAGGTGGCCTTGCTGAGCTGCATGTTGGTTGGCTGCTGGAAAATGCTGTTTTTGAGGATGTCTTGTATCAGCAACTTCCAAAAACCCACCCCTTCCTCAACTCCTGGAAAATTAGAAGATAGGCTACCACTGAATGGAATCTTTTCTAGCACTTATAAGATTGAGATAGAATATAAGGTTTTTCTATACATACTTTATCACTTAATGGAAACTGCTGTGTTCTGTCTGCAAATAGTTTTAATCTTTCAGATTAAAGAGACAAAAAAATTGAAGCAATGACTTCCATGGGTTAAGTATGCATTAAAATTAAAAAAAAATGCAGAATTAAACATACCACCTTTCAGATTATGTGATAAAAAGGAAATAGAAGTACTTCTCTAGGCTAACCTGATACTGTACAGTACTTTTAATAGCACACTACAGTTAAGAATGCCCCAGCCTTAAAAAAATATTAATCCTTTAATGGTCCAGAATTGAATGCTACTGATACAAAGACTGCTGCTGAAACGGCCATGTCATAAACCACTAATATGCACATCAATGCTCAAAAACCATATGTAGAAATCCCCTTTCCAGCCACATACCTAAACTCCTCTTGAGTTACCTTACCTACATTGGCTTGGTCCTGTTCAGTCAAGTATTTATATGCAGGCTTAAATGACTACGCTTGCTAAAACCTATTGGCATTAATGGGACATTAATACAACTTAAGCAAAGCACATGCCTAAGTGCTTTACTGGCACAGGTGTTGGGGAGGTTAAAAAAAAAAAAAGTCTACAACATATTCCTCTAAGCCTGGAAGTTTCTTGTCCAGATTTGCTTTTCTTTTTCCTTCTCCCAAACAAAGGTGTTCTCCATTGATGTGCTGCTTATTCAAATAGACTGGCTTGAAGGCTACAGCCATTGTACTTTTTTTCCTGTTCTCCAAATATAGGGTCTGGCAATATAAATTAAATTCTCTCTTTAGCACCAAGCTCTATGACTTCGACCTGAATGGCCCACCCTCTATGACTTTGACCTGAATGGCCCACCACAGCTGGAAGGGAAGTGTCTGGGG